AATTGTTTAAGTGTTCTCTTATTATAAATGCACCTCAGGATAGACGTTTCTCTCAACTTTTTGTAAATTGGATGAGAAGTGATGCTTTTTCTCTTTGTTTAGTTGCTGTACTTTTGAATCTTTTAGGTTGCTGCTATTGGATTGGACCCCTCAAAACACTTGGGAAAAGAGCTAGTATATCTGGAGTCCCATCTCCACAAGCTAAAAGAGTATGATACAGTTAGCAAATATTTGGGCATTATTTTACTTCAGTTTTCCCGCATTTTTATGTCTGTTTTTGGCAGGTTATATGGAATAAATGTCTGTGGTGAAGGTGGAGAATATGAATCATTAACCCTTGATTGCCCTCTGTTTAAAGCAAGTATTTCATCTCTCTCTCTCTCTCTCTCTTTCTCCCCCCCCCCAGGCAGGAAGCATATGGTTGCACTATATGGTCTCAAAAAGAAATCTAGCGTTATTAATATAGTATTACCAGTGCTTTGGGGAACATTCTACTCCATCTGTTCCATGATTTTTGTTTAGGTTTCATTTCATAAATCAAATTGAATATTGATAATGTGATTGTACATATTTATGCATTTAGTTATGTATCTTTTGTGGGGGTCTATTATTCATTTTTATTTTTGGTGGGCGGAATTGCGTTTGCAAAGTCCAAGAAACGGCTTTGATCATAGCTCAATTTGACCTTCAAAAGTCAAATGAAGTAAAAATGATGTGACAGATTATGATTTAGTGTTTAAAAGTTACGTCCCTTTTCTTGCTTTCTCACATGTCTTATTTTTTAACTCTCGCAGAATGCGCGGATTATGCTGGATGAATTTCAAATTGTCTTGCATTCGTCAGATGCCATAGCCCCTGTTGGCATCGTCCATCCCCTAGCATTCCATCTCGAAAAGAAGATGGAGTCAAAATCTTCAAATGCCATTGATGAAGTCAGCAATGTCTTCCAGGGGAACGTGGATAAAGTATTTGAAGTGCAAGGAGATGCCCACCAAGAAGGTGAAGCAGTTGACGAATTTGTTGCTATAAGCTCTAAGCAACCAGATGTCAGTAAGGAGGAGCTCAAATTTTCAAAAACAATGAAGGATGATATCTTTTCTATTTCTTGCTGGCTTCAAGATTCGTGTAAAAATTCAGCAGGTAAAAACATACGAGTTACTATAGAAGGTTAATGTTGTAGGTGGAATCGTATCTGGTATTGTGCTATATGTTGAATTCTCTCTCTGATCTAGTTCCTCTCATATCTCCTCTGTATCTTTGTAGTTTTCAATGCTTTTAGCCTTGTGATTGCCAGATTTATGGGAAGATCTGGAGGTTGTTCTAATGAGAATTGAAGCTCTGCTCGTGGAAAATGGTTCCTCCTGGGAAAATGTACTGTACATCCATCTTTATATTGCCAACATGGATGAGTTTGCAGTGGCAAATGAAACCTATGTCAGATATATCACTCAGGAGAAGTGTCGTTTTGGTGTACCATCACGGTCTACCATTGAGCTCCCTCTGTTGCTAGTTGGTTTAGGGAGGGCATATATTGAAGTTTTAGTGGCAAATGATCTTACTAAAAAGGTCTTGCATGTACAAAGCATTTCTTGCTGGGCCCCTAGCTGTATCGGTCCGTACAGTCAGGTACTGATTTTTTAAATACTGTACCATTCATATCATTCCTGCAATAACGCGGTTATCATTTTTAGTGTCTTGATTCTTACTTGGGTCTAAAGCATATAACTAAAAAGATAGTTCTAGTTTCAATTGCTATCAGGAGAATCATCTTGAAAATATGCTTCTGATTGATTTACCACATCACTATGTTGCAGGCAACTTTGCACAATGACATATTACACATGGCAGGACAGCTGGGGCTTGACCCAGCAACAATGGTGCTTTGTGAAGGAGGTCCGGTTGATGAACTTGAACAGGCACTGGAAAACAGCGAAGCAGTGGCTAGCAGCTTTAATTGTTCAATATCTACATCAGCCATAGTGTTTGTCATATATTGTTCAGCATCCATGGACACGTCAGAAAGAGTTGTTGTTCAGAACAAGACAAAAGCACTTCTTAATCAAATGAAGTCGGTCCATGCTGAGGGCGCAAAGAAGTCCATAGTCCTAGATCCAATTTTCCTCTATATTCTTGTTCCTGATCTGCCAAAAAGGTAGTTTGTGTTGGGGGTGCTCCATAGACCATAGTATAAAATGACACTCTAATGTTAGCGCTTCCAAGAACCGTGATGCGGATAGTTAGCTGTAATGTAGTCGAGTATCTGCCATAGTTGTTTTATTTCCCTCTGTAATGTAGTCGAGTATCTGATAAGAGTGGGTTGCTCTAGTGGTAAGCACCCTCCACTTCCAACCAAGAGGTTGTGAGTTCGAGTCACCCCAAGAGCAAGGTGGGGAGTTCTTGGAGGGAGGGAGCCGAGGGTCTATCGGAAACAGCCTCTCTACCCCAGGGTAGGGGTAAGGTCTCCGTACACACTACCCTCCCCAGACCCCACTAGTGGCATTATACTGAATTGTTGTTGTTGTTGTATTTGTGCTGCTTATTATGGTTATGTTGTCTTTCTTCCCGTCAGTATGACCTGAGAACAAAATGACCTGTTATTTATCTGTGTTTCTCGTCAAACATTTTATTGAGTACAGTTCCTCTATGTAGAGCGCTGGTTGAAGTGAAGCCCATGCTTTACACTGGGGAGTATATGTCGGCTCCAAGTGACCATGCCATGCAATATCAATCCATGGAACAAGGTTATTGGGGCTTTGAGTATGAAACATGGCATGACGTTTGCCTTCAGAAATGTGTTGCTTATGGGAAAGTGTGCACAGCAATTCTTTCAGTTACTGAAGAGCTTGCATGGAAGATCTGCTCCAACGCCAATGTTGCAGGTCTTGCCGATCTTAAGTCTAATGGTCCTGTTGAAGAGGAACAAGTCATATTGATCGCTAGATTTTGCATTTACCGTCTGGATAAAATCCTGTTGGAGTATAATTTCACTTGGGACGATGTACTGGTTAGTTTCTTTTCCCTGACCTATCTGTTTTATTTCACAAATTTTCACAACATGAAGATCTTTCTTTTACAGTTTGCTCTTTTCTAGACCCCTTCCCTCCTCTACCTTTTCTTGTTCTGTTATTCCCTTAACCTGATAAAGTATTCTAGCCCTCTGACAAAGGTCTCTACTTTTGCAGAATTTCAGGCTCTACTTTGCAAGTAGTCTTAATATCCCTCATAGAACATTGTCTCGAATCTTCACTGATGTGTTTAATGAATTTGCTCAGATGAGTCAGAGAGTTAGCGTAAATGCCGAGCCTATCTTAAATATCGTTCCAGTCTTGGGTGCTGGGAGGTCTTTATCGACCTTGGATGATATATTCACGTGTGAATTCATCGCTAGGAAATGTTAGATCTCATTTAAATTAGGGAATTATATATTAAATGTTGAGAAAAAGAGAGTTTTGAACTTGAACAAATTCTTATAATGTTATTGCCAACCCAATTGTTGCAAATTACACTTAGCTTTACAGGAAATGAATATATGAAGTGCATCTCATTTCTGCAGTACTTTGTAAAGTTGCTTCATTTCTCTGCAGCTTCACTTGTGTCGATGCTTTGTATGATTGCAGTACTCATAGTTGTCTCACACTGTACTGTCCAAGAGAAAAAGAGATGAACTCGTGAAAGAAACTAAGGGTCATTTGGTTGGGAAACAAGTTCCCATGATTAATTATCCCGGGATTAGTTATCTCACCTTCTCATGGGGATAAAAAAAAATACTACAATCCCGGGATAACTAATCCCGGAATTAATTACCCCTTATCCCTCGTACCAAATGATCCCTAAAGGTAGTGTTTCGTCTCAAATTGAAGAGATGGAACTTTCAGTTTTGGAAGAAACATTTCAAATTACTTTCCGTTTTAATGCTTAAGCTTGTGTAACTCTTTTGGTTTCATATCAAATTTTCAAGCCAAGTGGAATGTAGCTTCTGCTGCAAGTAGAAGTTAGCTGCAGTGGCTTCTTTTAAAGTGGTTTTTAGTGCGCTGCTTCAATCATTTACCATAATTGTTCTTTAAAACATAAAACATGTCATATTTGATGGATATTAGCAATGTATTTACTCCTAAATTCAGTGCACTGCTTTAGGCACTGAATTGTTAAAATGACTGTTGATGACTTCCTTTTAGCATTTTCTAAGTACTAAAATCCAATTGCTCTGGGAAACCTCTCCTATTACATATTTAAGGTAGTCAAAATGAAAAAACGAGACTCCGTTTTCTAAATAAATTCTTAATGACTTTTTTTTTTTTTTTTTTTTTTTGGCTCCATTAGCTAGAGCCTAGAGGCATGAGTCCTATTTGAATGGTAAAAATAAGAATTCATTCTTTAGCACATATTGATAGGCGAAGTACACCAATAGCCACTTTTAAGCTCGCTATTTAAAATATATTATTTAAAGATAAGCCAATTTGTCCAAATTTTAAGACGAAGTATCCTGAATTTTTGAGCTGCTAATTTGAAATCCAAGATTTAGTGTCCTAAATTTTTAAGCTGCTAATTTTTAAGTGTCCTGAATTTCTCAACTGCTAATGTGAAATTCAGGGCTAACTATCCTGAATTTTTGAACTGCTAATTTAAAATTCAGGACATAAGATTTGAATTTTTGGACATAATTTTTGAACTTTAAGATGCGATGTCCTGAAGTTTGAATCTAAAGGTTTAAACTTCAGGACGTCGTGTCCTGAAGTTTGAACGAATTGGCTAATTTTTAAATACATTATAAATTATGAATATATTTTAAATATCATGCTCAAAAGTAGCTACCTGGTGTCATTTCTACCATATTAATANTATATATATATATAAATGTTATTGCAGGTTTATGATCGAAATTTTTCAAAATTATCTCCTTTTTTCTGTAAATTTTAAATTCAATTAACGAGTTTGATAATTAAAATTTTAAAATCGGGTCAAATTAAAAAAAAAATGGGTCTCAAATTCCTCCAATTGTTAAACCCGTCAAAACTAGTAGGAGTAGTATTTTCCGAATCCCCAAATCGAAATCTCTTCCAGTTCGCTCAAGCCGTTGCCCTCTTCCGTCAATCCCAGCACCGTCGGCGACTTCTCCGGTGAGTTCCCTTTCCACCGGCGACACACACACACACTCTCTCTTTCTCTTTCAAATTTCTCTTTCATTAAAGAGTAACCTAGTCTCTTTTGCTGCAATCTCTTCTGTTCAGTCTAGTGTATATACGCAAATAAGAAAAAAACAAATGGTTGTAAAAGTTTTGCTTTCAAGTTTGAGTATTTTGTACACCTTGATTTGTGAGCATTTTGTCTAAACCTTCGTGGTCAGAGTTATCCGGTCGAGCATAAAAAGAAGAGTTGTAATTCTTTAGTAAACCTAATTTAGGGCTTACTTTAGCTGGTGTATATGAAATACTCTTACAACAATAATGCTTCAATCCCAAGCTGATCGGTTTGTTGTATAGAATTCTCTTACTTATAAAAAAAATAGTAGACTGGATTTTATAACAGGTGCTGGTTCTTTTCCAGGTATACTAATAACTAAAATAAGTGGTTTTGCTCTTCTTGTCATTTGCTTGATCAAGCTTTTTGGTATTTGATGATTAGTAGCACATTTTTGGGCCAGTTGTGAGCTAGATTCCTGAATCCACAGTAGGTTGTTTCTGCTATTCTTTGTTAGCACTAAAGAGGCATTACTGACGTGTAGGAAACGACTCTGAAGTTGAATTTTGGCTCTATGTAAGGTTGAACCTTCAAAGAAATGGCTGAAGGCGGAGAAGAGGACTTGCCAAGGGATGCAAAGATTGTGAAAACGTTGCTAAAATCAATGGGTGTTGATGATTTTGAGCCTCGAGTTGTTCATCAATTCTTAGAACTGTGGTATCGGTATGTTGTTGATGTACTCTCGGATGCTCAGGTCTACTCAGAGCATGCAGGGAAAGCTGCCATTGACTCTGATGATATCAAACTTGCCATTCAGTCGAAAGTTAATTTCAGCTTCTCACAACCCCCGCCGCGGGAGGTACTAAATCTTATCAGATCCTTTCTTGTTGTGCTGATAATTCATTATTCCGAGGTGTAAGATTCGTACCTTTCTTAGAGACCTCTTAGGTGTGTGGTGAAATTGATAATATTTAGCCTTCTCTTATCTAGGAAGGAAAAGTAAAAACAAGACACCGAAACGAAGGATTATATAGTAGCTAATATGATAGGCTTGCAGTAAATATGGTTCCTTTGTGACACTTGTAGATTTCACTGGAACCCAAAACAAAAAAGAGATTTCACTGGAGAGATGAAAAAATATCAACTATTACAACCTATATTTCTAGGTCATAATTTGGTGCAATGGTATGTGGTTAATTACCATGGCTTTCAGGAATTGATGAGGAGCGATTGGTGGCTGAATGTTGGGTTAGTTGTGTGGAAAATTTTCAGCTTTATGAAGAACAGAAGATGCTGTAAGTTCTGCAAAACTTTAAGGGGTGAATGGGTTCTGGCAATTTGAGGTCTGAAAAATTTTGCTCGTCTGGATCATTTTTGTGATGCTTAGCTGGCTAACCTTTTTATCCTTCATAGTATTATCAGGAGATTGATTAAAAGACAACAAGAAGAAAAGTAGAAAAATAACATTTAATCCCGCCTTGAGAATTTCCTAGGATAATCACAAAAAGAAGGCTGCATAGACCAGAATAAACAACGACGATTTGACCAAATCAAACTGAATACGTGTAGAGTACTCCAGTTAAATGAAGTTAGACCATTAGCTATCATAAATCAAAAGATATTCAAAAATCAAGTTACATATTTAGGTATTATTTTCTTCCGAAACTACCTTGTTCTTAGCTATTTACTTGAGTACTCTAGTACTTATTGGGTATGACTCCTTTCATACAGAGTTGAGAAAGATTTGGTTAAATACTTCTTATATAAAAACATTTCCAGCTATGAATTATGTTTTAATTTTTGTTATTCATTCTTATCGACTCTATTTCACAAGCGACTGGCAGTACTATGCCCGACTTCTCTAGCTATCTGACAGAACTAGCTTCATTTTCCACATGTGACACTTTCTGCCTCATAATACTTATAGATACCTCTTGTTGGATGAATTAAAAATTTTAATTTAATTATTAACCAACATGCACTTGGTATTGGATGTTTAATTTGCCCTGCATATATGTATTTTTTCCCTTCTTTTTTTTGTGGGGGGGTGGGGGAGGGATGATAAGGTAGACCAAACCCAGCCACCCCCCAAAAAAGCCCCATTTTCTAGGAGTCAATGGTGGCCCTTTCCGACTTTGCTTCATTGGTAACTCTAACTCCCAATGTTTTGGTTGGGACGGAAGTACTCTTTCTAGTTTCTACTTGAGCAACCTCACTCGTCCTCTGCTCAAATTCTTACTCTTCAGAAATTATGATAATCTCTCGCTTATCAGGTCCTACTGGAGCTGGCTAGGAACAGAAACAAGATCCCATTGCCGAAATCAATTGCTGGGCCTGGAGTATCACTCCCTCCTGAACAAGATACATTGATCAACCCAAACTATCAGCTAGCTATTGCAAAGAAGCAAATTAGCCAATCAGAAGAAACGGAGGAGGATGAAGAAAGTGCTGATCCCAACCCAGCCCCAACCCAAAATCCAAGTGTTTCTCATGAAAAGGCAGATGTGCCTCAAGGTACTCCTCAGCGAGTATCCTTTCCCCTTGGCGCTAAACGTCCAAGATGATGTATGTACTCTAGGACATTGTATAATGGTTGTTTAAACATTATGAAATTTTAAGATCTTTTTTAACAGTGTATTAGTTCAATGGCCCTCCTTGCAGCATTTATAGACACAATTAGAAGGGAGTTGAGACAAGCTATGAGACCAAGAATTATTTTGGCATTATCAATACGTTTCCATTATATTCATCTGATAAATGTCATTCTGTAGGATATGCTTTAATTACGTGTTTATTTGCTACTAAGACTGTAACAGGGAAACTATACTTAATATATTACTGACCTTGCCTAATCTAATGGAAACTGCATCGTTAGAGCCAAGATACTCAAAAACATTTTCCTTAAATTTCCTACAGAATTTGTATTACACCTTTACTGCTCACATAACATGGGCTAAATCTGCTTCAGATGTGCAGCAGAGAATTTTGAATTATTGTGCCAAATTGTGCGTGGATACTCTGATATCAGATGTTCTTACTTCTTAGGATATGGGAAAGTTTTCAGAAATATTAAAGTTAAATTTTGTGGATTAAATTTGACATATCTTGATTTCATACATGTCCCTACACTCTATCGAGTAGGACCTAGTGAAGGGCATACAAGCATAGGTGAAGTTAGGAATTTCGCTATAGTGTTTCATATATACAAGGACAGATCGGTACAAAGCATCGTATATTCACGCTGGATTTGGGAGAGGGCCAGATTGTTCCATATATATGTATGAAAAATAATATAACCTATATATAATAAAAAATTTCAAAGGGTGTTTAATATATATGTAAAAAATGTAACATTCAACTTATATACACTATAATTTTTCTCAAAGGGTGCCAATCGATCACCCTTTGCCAGCTACAGCTCCGCCTATAAAAATTGTGGAAGGGTTATTATTTCCCAACGGACAATGTACTTTTTTACTAGTTATAATATTGTGTATATTCCATGAGTTTATAAAAATTTTGAGATGATCTGTTTGTGAATATTCTAAGAGTTTATGGGATTTTCGAGATTCAACATTACTATTAGTTTTACCTTTCTTTCTTGTCATTCATTTTACCTTTCTTCTTCTTTGTCTTCAAACCCTAGTCTGAAATTGAGCTCCACCATAACTTAACTTAATACCTGAAAGTCTGAATTTTTAAAAAAACAAAGTTCAAATTTAAACCTTCTTGTTTGGAGTTGGGCTCCGCCAAAACCTAATTTTTAAGCTTCAAGTTTGAATTTGGAAACTTAGGCCCCTGATTTTCAGCTTCAGACGTTAACTTTAACACAACTGAATTATAAACTTTTGTAAACTTCAACTATTCTTATTGGGTGGGGGAGGGGGGTTGTGGGGGTGGGGGCAGAGACCGATGTAGTATTTGAACTCTATGAATTCAACCTTCAATCTTCT